TACGACGGGTGCAATGAACCATCCATTCGCAGTTTGCGGCCTTGCATTTTGCTGTCACCCTTTTGCGTTTATTTTTTACAAATTCAATGTTAAATCCTCGTGCAATAGAGTAATTACTTAAACTCCGCCGACAATGTTCAACATCATCAAATTCTTGACCAACACTTCTAATAGCATTGTGCCATGCAATAGGAATCATATTAGAGCTCTCAACTTCCCGCGACATATTTTGTGAATACGATGGATTTTGTGAATGAGAAACATGATCATCACTAGAGGGGATATACGGATTACTGCATAGAAAATTGTACAAGAGTTAAGAAAGTGATAATGTTAAAAGTACGAAACTATATCAAAAGTGTAAATTACCTTATATGGACATCGTTAGCTTGTATGCCAAATAATATGTCTCGATTCATCTCAGCGTTCATGACAACAACATTCTCCTTGCAACTTCGATGTACATTGACCATTATCGAGACATCAGCATCATCACATACACGAACATATATTTCTTGCGTGTGGGGTACTTTGTAAGTCAACTGTATCGTGCTTGCACTACAAGCAATTAGGCTTTGCACTGCAACGGCCAAATCTTTGTAACTCCCGTTGACATTTAATTCTAAAAAGTGATTGTTTCCTCTAAAATCCGTCAATGCACAATACAATTCTTCATCCATCTATATTTGTTACCAAAAATAAACAAATTTAGAGAAAAATTTCATCAAAGATAGACACATAAAATCAATACAGCTAAAATACCGCTACATGATAACGTGCTATCCTTGTATGTTAACGTGTTATACTTACATGATAACGTGTTATTTACTGAATAATGTGTTATACTTACATGTTAACGTGTTATACTTACTAACTAACGTGCTATACTTACAAGTTAACGTGCTATACTTACTGAATAACATGTTATACTTATAGGTTAACGTGCTATACTTAGATGATAACGTGTTATACTTTCATGATAACGTGTTATACTTACAATATAACATGCTATACTTACATGATAACGTGCTATACTTACAATATAACATGTTATACTTACAGGTTAATGTGCTATACTTACATGATAACGTGTTATACTTTCATGATAACGTGTTATACTTACAATATAACATGCTATACTTACATGATAACGTGCTATACTTACAATATAACATGTTATACTTACAGGTTAATGTGCTATACTTACAGTATAATGTGCTATACTTACAGTATTAATGTGCTATACTTACAGTATAACATGCTCTACTTATATTAATATGCTATACTTATAAGTCTGGTAATTCATGCTATACTTACATGTTATCATTCTATACTAAGATCAAATTTAACAAAAATTTCATCAATTATAACAAATTTAACTAATATTTAACTAATTGTTATGAATTCATAACAATAACATTTTACTAAAAATAATTATGTGAAATAACATTATGTGAAATAACTAATTATGTGAAATAATAATGTGAAATAAGAAGTGCAAAATAATTATGTGAAATAACTAATGTGAAATTAATGGGTGGTTAATTACAAAACCTCAGTTATCTAACATTTTACTAAAAATAACGAATTAAAATTTTTTTATGAACTCATTTAACTAACTTATCAAATAATTGTCATGGTTAAAATGAGAAATTAATGCTAACAACTTGGTAGTTGAGTAAATTGCAAATTTCTACCTTCAAATGCCCAGAAAGTTGGTGAGAATTAATTGATGGGTTGTAAGAGAGAGTGATTAAATGATGGGTTATAGGAGAGAGTGTTGAGTTCTATTAATGGAGTGAGAGAAAGGGAGAAGAAGAGGGGGGCAGAGAGAGGACGGAGAGAGAATGGAGGGGGGAAATTTACCGCCAGTTTCCCCCCTCTCTCTCCATTTCGTTTATTTTATTTAAGGGGGACCCACTTAAATGAATTCTATAAGTGGGAGGGTATAACCGGAATTTAAGAAAAATATATGGGGGGACCCACTGCTGAAAGTATTGTATTTTGGATTTTGGTTTAAAGACAAATACAAAAAAAAATTTGGACTTAGAGATACAACCAATACTACTTGGGTTTAAAAATAAAGGGAGGTAAACTATTGGACCTAAAGACAAAAAGCCCATAGATTTAATAGCTGTGTTAAATTCTGGATGCTTGATCCACATGCTAAAAAACTTGAATGACTTTTTTCCTTCACAACTTTCTTCACCAATTGTTATCAATGCTGGCGAATGATCAGATAGGCTTGGCACCAAGAAATCAACTTGACTAGAAGTGTAATTAAGAATCCATTCTTCATTTACTAAAACCTTGTTCAATCTGCTCCAAATTCTAGCATTGACCTCCTGTTTATTGCACCATGTGAAAAAGCATCCAGTAGATTTGAGATAAAGCAGCTGGCAAGAATCAATACATTGTACAAAATCTTCAGTATCAGATTCAATGACTTGTAATCCACCCAGTTTTTCTTCATTGCTAATGATAGCATTAAAGTCCCCACCTACAAGCCAAGGACAGTTTACAATTTGTTTAAGCAATAGAAGTTCATTTCAGAGATCTTTCCTGCCTATTTGATCATTCAAGGCATAGACAATTGTAGCAATACAAGAGAATTTATCATCTTTAGAAGATATGGTGCATGTTATAAATTGCTCAGAGGAGGATATCATTGAACAATAAGGTTATCACAGTCCCAAAGAATCCATATTCTTCCCTTGCTATTTGGTTTAGCATTAGAGATCCAATTCCAATTTTTTGTCATTTTTTTGCTATAGTTTGCATCTTGTTGTTAGCTACTTTTGTTTCTAAAAGTGCTAGGAAAGTAAGCTTGTAATCATGAACCAACTGCTTCACTATCATTTGCTTAGAAGACTTGTTCAATCCTCTAATATTCCAGATTGCTAGGTGCATTTTTATTGAGCAGTCTTTCCCCTATCCATATTTGAGGGATCAAAAAGATCATGAAGATCTAACAAATTAAATTGTGAAGCTTGAATATGATTGGAAGCACCAACATTCAAATTTGATCTTCTAGCTGCACTGTTTTTGAATGACCAAAAATACCAGGACTTTGCTTTCCATTACCAACTTGATCAGATTTTCCAAAACTTTGCTTATCATTTGGTACCACTATTTGTGCATGTTTCTCTGATACATTCTTACCAGGGAATGAGGAAGTACCCTTAGGCTAAACTGGGATGTTTCTCAAAATCTCTTGTGCATGTGTATCTGGCTGAGAATTATCAGATATAATTTCAGCCTGTGTAGGCTTAGCACTAGATGCAGTATCCCCATGTACATGCCTATCTAAATAAGGATCGGTAACATTTTGCTCTTGTGTAGATTTTTCTTCTCTAAGCTGCTGTTTGGGAACCCATATTTTCTTAGCAGCAAGTCTTCTACATTGTACAGTTTCATGCCCCACTGTTTTGCAATTCACACACAATCTTGGCTTGAACTCATAAACCACTTTTTGAGTATAGTTTTTCCCATCAGGCCCTTTTGTAACTATTTGATCTAGTAGAGGTTCCTTCAAAGGCATATCACTTTTGTAACTATTAGATCTAGCATAAGAAAGCGTTTGTCTCATAGCAGTAAGTTTATCTGTAGTAATAGGATTGTCGATTGAACTAGCAATTTCGCTAATACCTGAGGAGCTCCATAAATTCAGTTTTAAATTGGGAAATTGAACCCACATTGGGTAAGTACAATCTTGAATTCTCTCCATACTAGTATCAATTTTCCAAGGCTTGAGAATCAAAGGCCTGGAACCAAAAAACCACGGCCCTGCCTCCAAAACATCTTTCATTTGTTTTTCAGCACGAAAATCAAAGAGGAACACCCCTAGCTTAATCAAGAAAACTTTTGGTATAGATATTTTTCCCCAGACATTAGTAACATACGATTCCATTGATTTAAATTTGACATTTAAGCCAATAACATGTTCTATGAGAGCAAATTTCTAGAAATCCTCTTATTCCTTCCATTCTTCTTCAGTAAATGAAACAGTGTTAGCTATAGAAGAAGGGACAAATTTAAGTGATAATCCATTTCCATGTTTTCTATTATCTGAAAATAGGCTAGCAAAGGATTTAACTCCTTCAGATCGATTCTCTTCCATATTCTTCTTATCACATTGATCTAAATTAGTAGAATCCTTATTTACTTCTTTCTCAGAATTAATATTGCAATTCACAGCATTAGCATTCTCCATTTCTTGAAGATAAACTACTGAATTTTCCTCATCAAGATCAATTCGACTTGAGATATTCACATTATCAACCTCGTCAGACCAAAGAATAGAGCTAGAAGATTTACCTAGATTACGAGAAGCCATCATACCAACCTCCATCAGCGGTTGAGGAGTTGTTAATGGACTGGATCTAGCAAGAATCTCCTCTATGAACAGCTTCTTCTTTGCCCCTTTAGGACCAGTGCTCTCCATTTCCTGGATCTGAGAAGATACTGTTCCATTCGATTCAACTTCTTCATCAGATGAAGGATCTCCATGAATCAATGAAGCTAAAGCTGAAGCTGAAGGAGGATAGACAAAGATAGTGTCTCTTAACTCACTACTTTGGACTCTTTTGCTATCGATCTTCTTCTTCTTCGCCATCGAAAACTAGGCGGAGGAGCACGTTAGCAGGGAAGAAATCACCTGCTAAAGTGCGCCAAAAAGTCCCACCATAAAAAAATGTCCTTCCCTCTTTTTTTCTTTTCTTGTTACTTTCTCCTCAAGTTAAATGTTCTCCTGTATGTGAATTTACATGTAATTTAGTGACATTTTAAAGGACATTCCCATTAATGAATAACTTAATCCCTTGCTCTTGCCACCTCTTTTGCATTTTTTCCTTCAGGAATTGCCTTCATGGTGTGATTTCATCGAGTTCTCTTTCGAGTGAAAAGTTGTTTATAAGCATGTTATATGTGACACTTGAATATGCTCTCATGAATTAGATGCTTGTTTTTTTTATAAAATTACTAAAGTATCAAATTATATGTATTAAAATGCCAGAACATGCATATGTTTCTTAAGCAAAACTAATCTTTTATTTTTATTTTTATTTTCATTGATCTTGCTCACTTGTCACTTCAATTAAAAAGATTATTTTTAATAAAACATTGTAAATATTGGAGGGGAAAAAATACATGTATTAGTTGATCAACCTCTATCGATTAACATTTAGAGCAGCATGAAAGAAGATCTATTGGCTTCAAACTAAAGCCTCGAGAAAATAAGAAGGAAATCCAAAAAGTCAAATAAAATAAACCCTAATCGATATTTGTTTACTATGTAGCTAGATATCTAACTCTAGTAATCAAATTGTTGAATAGCAAGTTCCTAATATGTTTTAGTAACAAGTTATTGAGATTCCTAATCTGTTTTGGTAACATTATTTCTAATCTGTTTTGGTAACAAGTTATTAGGATTCCTAATCTGTTTTGATTTTGGTTTTAGAATTCCTAGTGTACTTTTGGTTTTAGGATTTCTATATATATATAGGAACACGTTTTAGGTTTGCGGTGCAGTGAATGGATATTTGGAGCATAAAAAAGAGGTATTTTCTAAGCTATTGGTTAGGGTTTTGCTTGGAGAGAATTAGAGCTTTGTTGGTGAGATTAATTGGTGAGTTTATGTGATTTTGTAATCTCAGTTTGTACTCTTCTTCTCTATTAGTAAA